AGAAGAAGAAGAAGAAGAAGAAGAAGAAGAAGAAGAAGAAGAAGAAGAAGAAGAAGAAGAAGAAGAAGAAGTCATCCCCTCTGTGCACCTATAATCTACTTGACAATTTACTCCGCACAATTCACATGATTCCATTTTGAGTCTTCCAATCACCAAAAAGGAAGACTAGCGGGCACATCTCTGCTTACCTGGTGATATGGAGTTACAGGTAATTTAACAATTTACTGAGTGCCAGGAAGAGGCAGGGCAGTGATACTGGCTCTCTTCCAAGGTGACCACCCCTGGTGGACCCACAGCCAAGCCCTATTACATCTTCCTTCCTCATCCCCCAAACCAGCAAACTCAGCCCTGAAATCAACCCGCCTCCTGCGCTGATGGGGTCCGGGTGAATAACCTGACCAGACCAGACCCTGATCAGACCTCTACCCTCCACAAATAGAGGAAGCTTTGCTGCCCACCTGGGAGCATAGACAGGAAGGAGGATCACAGCACCCTACAAGGCACCCAGAGAGCCACAGCTTTTGTTTGTTTAATGGTACTATGCTGAGCGCTCTATGCACAGCTGTATGAAGCAGTTTCACAGATGGAGAGTGGAGGGGGCAGAGACCCTTATGTCCCTTGTCTGAAGGTCATTGCACAGATGGAAGTAGCTGAGTTGGAGCTGGAACACTAGCCCTACTGGAGTCAGACCAGGCATACTTCACCCATCTCATTTGCCCATAACCTCAATTATGGACCCACAGTCAAGCAGAGGAACGATTTCACATCTATGCTGTCCCCAGGGATCAAACTTAAGTGCATATGTTTGGAATGGGGCGCAGGGAGAGGGGCAATTCCTAAACCAGGACCCTGAGGGTCTGAGGCAGCCTCCCTTTACCTGACAGCTGCTCTCCTGGCTGTCTGGCCCTACCCCAGGGAATCTCCATCACCACCGCCCTCCCGGCTGCCTCTTCCTCCTCTCTCCTCCCTATACGCTCCCACAGACACCAGCACATTTTAAAGATGTTTCCACTTTATAAATCATTCCTCTCTGGCAGCCGCCCCAGAGCTGCTCCCCAGCAACACAAACTCGGTGCCCAATGGTACCTTCCCTTTGGAAGGGGCTGAAACAGGAGCAGTGCCCCTCAGAGAAGAGATTCGGGGTTTGCCCAGCTGAGGGAGGGAGGTTACCCAGAATGAAACACCATTCTGTTTGCTCCCGTTTACCGTTTTCTGAGGGGTATCGCCTGGTGCGCACTACAAGTAATGGGAGAACCTCTCTTCCCAACAGGTGCTCAAAGAGAGTCGGACAAAGCAGCTCTACAGGGGGCCAAAGGTGGGGCAACCGGGGCCACTTTTGTTTGCATATCATTTGCATATTACATCCCCTTCCCTACAGCCTCCTGGCTGCGACCCCCAGAGGAATACCGGGCTCCAGGCCTCAAAAGCCTGATCCCAAGCCGCTTCGGGATGTGGATCTGAGACCCAAGTGGTAGCTAAACTCCGGCCCGCTCCTCCGAAATGCCCCGTAAGATCTCCCTTGCCCATCGCCCCCAAGTAACCTCCAGCGCTGACCTGCCCGCCTTGGTGATGATCATCTCGGTGCCCGCCTCATGGAACTTCTTCCAAAGCTCCTTCTCGTGCAGCCCCACCTTGATGTTCTCGATCGTCTGGGAGGAAGCAGGGAGGGGGCTCGCGTCTGCCTGGCCACGGCGCCCCCGGAGCCGCCAGGGGAGACCGCTGGCCCGGAGACAAGCGCGGATCTTGCCCGCCTAGGAGCTCGCGCTTCGAGATTTCGTTTTCACGAAAGGATTTTGAACCCATGGTGAATTTAAAAAATTAAACCTGGTTCAAACTCCGTCCTTCAGGGTGCAACTCAGGTGGATTCGCCACGCCGGCGACCACGCCGGGACCGCCACTCCCCCACGCGAACATCTGCCCTGGGCTGGGCTGGCCGTGGCCACACGTTGAGGCCGACTGTTTGGACGTGGGAGAGGCCGGGGCCAACCCAGACGGGAGCCGCCGGTCTTGGGGTCGGCAGGTGACAGGGCTGTCGCGGAAGGCCTCGCAGCCCCGCTCCCCTTGCTACAGGGTCCCTACGCGCTGGTGCCGAGCAGCCCCGACGCTTCGAGGTGAAGAAGGGCCCGGAAAGCGGGGCGCACGGCGGCGCCGGTGGAGAACGAAAGGCCGAGCAGCGTAGGACGCAGCAGGTTCCTGAAGGCCGAGCGCGGGCCTCAGCTGCTGACGCTCAGACAGACAAACCGATGCCCGTGTCCAACGCAGGGGCGGCGCGGCCTTACCTGCTCCACGGCGGCGGCGACGTCAGGGCCCGGACCCGGGGGGCTACCGAGCGCGGCTCCGCTGAGGCCGGGCGCTGCCAGCGTGGGCTCGGGGGCGGTGGCGGAGCTGCCTTCGCCTAGCCCTGGGCCCGGGGCCCGGAAGGCCACCTCGTTCTCCGACAGGCCCTTGTCCTGCAGCATCTCCTGTGGGCACAGCACGCCGCCGTTACTCGCCCGATCCAGATGCGTACTGGCCAGAGGCCCCGCGCCCTCCCAAGCGGAGCTTGGGGCCTCCTGCTGCGGGTGTGGAGGTGCCCTGGGCACGTGGACCCCGCCCCCCTGAGCCTGGGGGTGGGTTGCATGCGGGAGGGCAGGACCTTCACCTCCTCCCTGCGGGTCCTGGACCTGGGAGGGTCTGCCTGCTCCTGGGTGTAGAGTTGTGATGAGGGGCCTGGGGGAAGGACCGCCCTCTCAGCACAGCCCCGCTGCCCCCAGGCCCCCCTCCCTGCTGGGCTCCAGTGGCCCGGGTTTCCTTGGTCCTTCCAAGGGAACTGGGGTCCAGGTCTCACTTTTGGCCTAGGGCAGCCAGGAACCTTCCTGGACTGGGGCAGAGGGGGGGGGGAGGCGGGCGTGAAGGTGGAGGCAGGGCCTGGGTTTCCACAGTTCCACACCTGCAGAGAAGGTGAGAGCTGGGGACCCTCTCTCCTCGGCTCACTCTTGTGCCCTCACCCATGCCCTCAGATGGCACTGGAGTAGGTACTTCCTGAACCAAAGGCTGCACTCCTGTGCATTCCCTCTGGGCCACACAACCTCACAGGACGGCACAGCACTCTCCTGTTTAGAGTCAGGCTCCCAAGGCCCTCTTCTCACCTAGGGCCCCTCGGGTCCAGCCCCTGAACTCTGCCAGGGTCCTCCCCAGGCTGTCAGCACATTCACACCCACTGGCTCACTGGCTCACTGGCTCAAACCTTAGTTCCAGAGGCCTCCGCTTAAAGCCAAAGGACCCAGACCCTTCCTAGCTGAGGACCAGGCAAGTAGCATGGGTCCAGCTCAGAGGCACAGCCAAGTCTAGGCCTATTTACCCACCCACCCCTGTAACTCTTCCCTGTCTTCAGCTGGTCCTGGGATACCAGGAGAAAAGCCCAGCTTGCAAAGATCAGCATCCTCCCCAGGAGGGGTGTAACCCTCACCATCTTTCCTTTCCTTCCTACCTCCCCCAGTTGTCCACAGTCTGGATTTGGCCAAGGTCAGGTGGGCTTTCTGTGTGTCTGACTGCTTGTCTGCCTTGTGGCTCAGGGTCTCCTCTTTCTCTTGATCTCTCCATTCTCCCTGGATCGCCCCAGCCTGCTCATCCTGGGTTTAGAGTCGGGCTCCCAGGGCCCGACAAAGTAAACAAGCCAAGTGCAAGCAGGAGATAAAAAGGGGCCAGGGCCCGCTGGGGCTGGGAAAAGCCCATAAAGATAAGCCTGACAGCCTGGCGTCCTCGGCCACAGCCAGCGGGAACAGCGTTCCCGCCGGGACAAGGCGTCCTGACACCCACCTTGGGCCACAAGCGGATTGCAGCCCAACCCTTGCAAACCAAGGACCCCCGCGCATGAGGGCGGGTGTGGCGAGGCGGGGGCGGGATGTTGCACGAAGAGGGTAGCGCGACTTGAAGCCTAAGAACCCGTTCCTACAGGATCTGGGCCCGGGCCGAGATGGGTTCTCAGAATCGGCGGCCCCTGGGGAAGGCGTCTGGGGTGGCTGGTCGGGGACCTGGCTACCAGGTTCTCTGCCAGGCAATTGCCACACCCGGAGCCGCTCAGGGACGCCGGTGTGCTCGCAGCCTGCACTCTCAATCCCGCCGGGTGCGAAGCCCAGCTGCGGCCCCGGGTCCTCTGCGTGCACTGGCCGCGGAGGTTGCGCGCACTCGCCTTGCCCTCTCGGGGCTCCCCAACAACAGCACACTCTAACCCCGCCACGGCTCACCCTCTCCGAAACTCCACGCCAATGTCCCCCCTCCCACTCTTACCCCGAGCGGCGGTCCCCGAAGTCCCCTTGGACCCCAAGCCCCCGCCCCGCGGCGGGCCGGGCCTGGGCTCAGCGCTTCACCCTTCCCGTCGGCGCTGCGCGGGAGCAGCCGGGCTCTGCTCCGTATGCGCTCCGGTGTGTGTGGCTTTCGGCAGCCTCTTTTTACAAGAACCACAACATTTTTCTTTTCACTTTTAGGTTACTTAGTAATATTTTTCTTGCACTAGGCAGAGTGTTACTATTTTGTACTAGTTTTAATATTTTAATTGTCCCTATTATCAGAGTGATCTAAGTTTAGTAACGTTAAGTATATTTACTGTAGCACGTGAACTGTTGGTACTTTTTATTTTTAATAATATGTGATTAAAGCACTGGTTAGATTCATTAATTTATCAGTATTACATATGTTGTCGTTGCTTTCCTGTCACTGCTTCGGCTTCAGGAGACCCTGACACATTAGTAATCCTGTTTCCAATATTTCGGTAATCGGTTTCCAGTAGGTTGTGTTAATCTAGCCTTATTTTAATTTTACTCTGTAGCTCTAAAATGTTTCCATATCTACTTCTTCATTCTCCTTAGACTGTCCAACTTTTGAATAACATGTTATTTACCATAACTTGCAATAGCATTGTTCTCCATATTCAGGTTAATTTTGTTAATCCTTACAATATTTCTTATTATTTTACCATAATTTGTTTTATTAGGATTGCTCCTAATACTCTAGGTAATGTTCTTCATCACATCGTTAGGATATCTTGTTACTTTGTCATTATTGGTAACGCTACAGATCTTAACTCGCTTGCTATTTTTCATCAGATCATTACTTCTTGTTACTTTGTCATAATTTGTAATATTGCTGTAGTTCTTGGTACTCTGATTATTTTCATCACATTGGTACAATACTGCTTATTGCTGAACCATTATTTATAATGTTGTGATTATTAATACCTTGGTCATAAATTGTCGTATTACTCCAACAATTCTTAACTGTGTACTTACATTGCTATCGCTCTTGAGATTTTGCTATTTGTTGGAATGTTTCACTATGCTGTCAATAATGCAGTATGCGACAATATTCTATCAATGTTAATAGTATTTTCTTTAATAGTATTTTTATCATTCATCATTTCCTACAGTTTGCAGTTGCCTACAGTTTAGTATTTTGTGACATCATTATTCTAAGTTATATAATTGCTCTTGATTTGAATACGCCAGTTCTGACACTGTTTCTATACCTGGAGTTACTTTTGTTTTTTAAAAAATCCTTATAAATTATTTGCACTTGATTTTTAAAGTGATTGTTACTGCATTCTTTGTAAGGGCAAGTGTTGTATCAGGAATGCTGTTTAGCCTTCTTTCTTTGGTAATTGCTCACATTCTGGTAATTTTTGACCATTGATTATTATTTATACATAATATTCCTTGGCTTAATTTTAACAAGTCTGTTGTATCACAGGCTCTGAAATCCAGTGCTCAGACCACTCACATTTCTATATCTATTTTCACTGCCGGTACCCGGGCCTTTTTCTTTTTCTTATTGTGCAAATATCAATTTTAATGACACTGCTCCTCCTATCACAGTTGAACCGTGTTTCTCGGTGCCGGCTCTGTCCTGTCTGGAGTCCCTACACACAATTACTCCCGTTACTCTTAAAGAGGACCGGCGCCCCGACCTGGGTGTCCAGAGAGGTCACCGCTCGACCCGAGGGCTCCCACACCTTCGTGCCGCCCTGGCTGCCCGAGGTCCTCGAACCCTCGTAGCGCTCGCTGCTTCCCACCTCGTCCTCCTCGACCCTGCCACACCCGCGGCCGGGGCCCGAGCCCCGCAGCCCACCCGCCCCAGCCCCCTGGAGCAGCACTCACCCTAACTGCGCTGCCACATGCGGAGGCGTCCGCGGCCCGAGGTCACTGCAGGCTCGGGCAGAGCAGCGCGGCTCGGCGGGACTTCGACTCCCGACTGCCGACTCCCGGCCGGGTCAGGCTCGCTCTGCCCGCCGCGCCCTCGGGGCCGGCCGCATCCCGCCTCGGAGCGGGCCCTTGATCTCCCGGGCAGCGCTCGGGGCCTCAGCTCTCTCCTCCCTGCTCCCGCCCGCCCGCCCCCCCAGCTCTGACGTCGCCACTGTCAATCAGTCTCGCCCGCCGCCCCCCGGGGAGGGGGGCTTCGGGGTCCCGGGGCTCCGCGGCTCCCCGGGATCCCGAACCCCGAGCGGCCGCCAGCTCCTCCGCTGCGCGGCCTGGGGCCCTCCTTACGGCCCTGGGACCCCGAGACCGTAGGGGCCGAGCGCATGGTTTAAATTAGGGGAAGAGGCGAGGGCGCGTGGCCTGGCTGCCACCCGGGGGTGCGTGCGCGGTGAGGCTGCTCGCCTGACGCCTCCAGCCGGACCTGCCGCGACCCACTCGGGGCAGCCGCCCACAGATCCAGCTGGCCAACGGCTTTCTACCCCAACGTCGCCCATTCTGCCCCATTGCCCTGGGACTCAGCGCAAGAACGCCTGCAGCCCCACTCGCTCTTGCTCCTCAGTACCCACCCCGTCCTCACACCTGCAGGCTGGGCCCGGCCACGGCCCGCTGTCCCCTGCCCGCTCTCTTCCCGGCCCCAGGGCCACGGGCACCCGCCTCGGCTTGGGGCGCCTTGGAGCCCGCAGGCCGAGGTCAGGCAGGAGGGCAGGGAGGAGGCCTGGTGGCCGGGCCTGTAGCTGCGGCGCCGGCGAGAGGCTGGGCCCAAGACCTCTTAGAAGGCGGCTTGAAGGTGCCAGGCTTGGCAGAGCCGTTTGGGGAAACTGCAGCGAGGGCCGGGACGCCGCCAGCAGATCCGTGATCCTGCAGAACTAAGGCGAGGCCCAGTAGAAAGCTGAAAGGGGAAAGAGCCCTGCTCTAAGCAAGCCGAAAAAGCATCCTGGCGTCCTCGTACTCAGCAAAGAAGACCAGCTTGGTCGCCGGGACCTCCACGCCCCAGCCTGCCGCCCTGTGGGTCCCCTTAACTCTACCCATTGATTTCCTCTGTCTATACCACCCACCGCAGGCAGATCCACTGCGACCTCAGCCCATGCCCAGCCTCACAGCCTGTCGATGCCCAGAACGGGGAAGTAGTGGCACATCTGCCCCCTCCATCCTCAGAGGCCCCAAAATCAACCCGGATTCCTAGAATGTCCCTCCGCTCTCAGCTTGTGATACGTCACTGCCTCCACTAAGGTCCCCAACCTCCCCAGTCAGTCACTTCTCCAGGTTCTGACCATAAAGTCAGATTGAAGGTGAGGGTACAGGTCTGAGCCTTCTCTAACACCAGGAACAAGACAACCAGCATCCACTCCACCTTTCCCAGTCTGCACTCAAAGGAGGAAGCAGCTCAGAAAAACCAGTTCAGAAAAGCCAGCTTCCACTCTGCCGTGGTTCCAGAATCCCTACCTCGCCCAGCAGCACCAGACCTTCCGACCCCATCTTCTATGACTCTGTGCCCTCACTTGATGCCCACCCATAGAGTCCTCTAAGAAGAGTGGAGAAGCTTAATCCTGCCCCAATCGTGTCTCCTCTTGGAACGGAGAAAGGAAGCCCAGTGTTTCCGCAGATGACTTGGGAGTCCTCTCCTGTATCAAGGAGAGCTGGACCACAGACCTCAGCTCTGCCCCCACTCCCCCTTCTGTGCCCCTCTAACAGCTGTCAGGGAAATTGCTGGAGACTAAATGGTAGATGGGCCAGCTACCAACTGCAATGCAGAACAGCGAGCAGGGAAGGCAGTGAATCACCAGCGACTGTGGGAGTCTAGAGGTGGAGGAAGTTCATAATGGGACCATGTAGTGGGACTCAACAAAACAACAAAATACTAGACTAGAGCTTTCCTTAAGTGCAAGCCTTTCTGGAGATTCACAGGAGACCACTGAAATTGCTGTCAACTGGTTCATTATGATGTGGAGAAAAGAGATCTGGAAGGGGTAGGCAAGGTTTTGGCAATGAAACGGAAATGGCAAAGCATCCAGCCAGTAAGAGTGAGGTGCTGTGCGCGGATTCTCCATCACAAGAAGGAAAGGTCCCATTAACTGTAACATACACTTTGCACATTCTGACCTCTCTGAAATTATGGTGCATCTTATACTTACAACCAATGCTGTGTCAGTTCAGCTAGCAGTGTTTTCTTTTTAGTGGTTCATAGGGTAACAGAGAGGCTTATAATTGATGAAGTATAGTATTTCTGATACATGGCCAGTTGAGAAAAGGAAAAGACTCTCTCTCTCTCTCTCTCTCTCTCTCTCTCTCTCTCTCTCTCTCTTTGTCTCAGCTCTGTTTGAGCAGTTTTAAGTACAACCTCCTTCCCACCTAGCTAAGCAAATACTGCAATAATCAAGCATCACACTGATTTGGGTTGGCTTTAAGGAAAGTCCTTGGGTTTGGTGTCTGCTTGACCTTGGTTATGAAGCCAGGCTTTGGATCCTGGATCACTGGTTAGCAGCTGTATGACCTTAGGCAAGTCCCTTAACACCTACATCAAATGAGGATAATCACGAGAACCAACTCTCACACTGTGAGGACTGGTTTCATGGCATGGGAATGCCTCGCATGCGATGGGGCCCTAATGAAGGTATAAAGTAGCCCCAAGTCTTTTTAAATTAATTTGATTC